CCTCTCCCCCTCTCCCCCCTCGATCGTGCATGCTAAGAATTTGGCATTGGAGTGTGTACAATATAAGATGGGAGCCAACTGTGTTGAAGTTATAGTGATAGCTACAAATTTGGCATAATCTAATAATTTTGGCTCAAATTCGACATTTATGTTAAAAATTCACTTAACATCTACACATAATATATCCAAAATCTTGTAAGAAAAAAAATTATGGTCCAAAACTCATAAACTAGCTCTACCATTATGGCCAAATATTTAATAAACCGCGAATTGATTGACTTTATCATGATAAAAATAAATTTTGAATCTAACTCAGTTTCAAAAATATGCATGATGTTCAAGTGGTAACAATTGACCATATAAAGAGACAAATAGTCCGTGCCCCATGTGAGACTCAACAAGGAATAACCACTGTGGTACTATTTTTTTTCTCAGCTAGCTAGGGACATGCAGTGGAAAATTATAGCTTGATTGTCAACAAAAATAAAATAAAAAAAGTTCAATCAATAATGGTTATTAATTAAAAGAATCCATAGGGTAAAATTATTGGTCCTTTATACATCATCTATCAGATGTCATTTCGTGAGAAAATTATTGGGACAAATAATTGTAATTAATTTATTACTACAAGGTATCACTACATTTCACATTTCACTTCATTGGACTAAAAGGTACATCCTTTTCTTTAAGGAAACATACCTAAATTCAACTAGTTTAGTATACTGGTTTGTAATATTATGAATCTTACTAGATTTTGACGCATCCAGATACATTTAGATACGTTCAGGTACATGTATATCGGGATATATGTGGTCAAAATTAGGTGTAATTAGTTCTAGATACACTGTATCCAAGTGGATTCGTATGTATCTGTTGGGATACATTATAACAAATCTCGCGCGTCTCCCTCCTATCTCGCTCACTACTCTTTATGTATCTGGTACTAGATACATGAATGTGAATCACACCATATACATATAGATACATGTATCTAATATGTATCTAGTGTGATTCACATGTATCTGAGATACATAACAAATCTTGATCACCTCCCTCCCCATCTCTCTTGTCTCTCTCCCTATTTTAGTGTACTTGGTAGCAAAAATACATGTACCTAAGTGTATCTTTCTCAATGTATGGTAGCAAAAAATTGCATACAAATTGACACAGATACTATATTGTAACAATATTCCTACCCAATTTTATAGTGCTTGACTTCAAATTGATACAAACACCATATACTAACTGTTAGGGTTTTTCCCTGATTTTCTTTCCTTATTTGAAGTTTATTTATTTCCTTAAAGAAAAGTCAAGTATTACCATAAATACTTGAACTTTTTCTAAAAGGAAAATATAATTTTCTTCCATATTTGGTTTATTCTTTCCTTAGAGGAAAAGTTTGGAGATCTATAAATTGAAGATCCCTATTCTCATAGCAAAACACAATAGAATCCACAATGTAGTCATTTAGAGACTTTTGATTATAGGGAGATTTAATCTCTCATCAGTTTTAATATTTTTTCTTTATATTAGTTTTCATATAATATATAATATTAGTTTTTAGTATAAGTTTTTGTCATCTAATTTATCAATCATATTATTTGCAGACGCCAAGATCACCTTCATAACCCAACACTAACAGTACCCTTACAAAATTTTACTGTGTGGACTGACACGAACACCATAAGCTAGTACTAATAACATCCTTATTGAATGACACGAATAACACCATATACTAATAACACCCCCTTACAAAATTTTATACTGCGTGCAAACTGACATAGACATCACCATTAACGTTATTTAACTAATTACATGATGAAGCAAGCATTAGGATTGTCATCACTAAACATGCTAACATAAGCAAGATCCTCAAATCTTGAAATTGTTTCTGTTGTTGTCATGTTGTGATCCACCCTTCTAACATAGCCAGGAGGAGCCTTCTTGTCATAAGAAGCAACAGCATAGGGTTGAGCCACTAAATTGTAAGGCACATAAGGCCAAATCTCAGCCTTTTTCCCTGTTGATTTTGCCTTCTTTAACACTTTGTTTGCTTCCACATATCCTGTTACTGTCACCTTTTGTTGTTTCCTGTTTATCTCCACTGATTTTACACCTACAATTATATAAACAAGTTAATTAGTTAACATTTTTACCAATGTTACAAATTACTTTTTTTGTCGATGGTATCAATTTATCTGATATATTTTGTTTCAAGAATATTATAAAGTTGGTGAGCCGTGTGATGAAACCTTACCATAGGATTTAGAGGGCATTGAATTAGAGTGAGAGGTTTTTTAGTTCACTTCAAAGAAAATGATACACTTTTTTATTTTCTAAATATTTAATGACACTATTAAAATTTTATTCATATTGAGTCCAATTTAATTATTTAACAAAAAGTAAGATTTTATTCATATTGAGTCCAATTTATTTAACAAAAAGTCTACAACGGCAATGTACCTTTTTAGGGTAATTTTCAAACATTGCAAGGTCTTTCTATATCATCATGTAAATATTTTTACACCTTACATATAACATAAATTCATAGCGATTTAAACGAGAGAGAAATTCAACTCTGATATCATGTCAATGTTGTAAAGAAAATGAACGCCAAAATGGCATAGTGAAACTAAAAGAGGTTCAACTGAATCTCCATATTATGTATATAAATAAGTAAATAAATAAAAAAACTTAAAACTAATTAGTATATAGCATATAGTGTTTAATTAATTTCTTACCACTTAATGAAGACAAAGTTTTCTTGACTTTAAGCTCACAGCCATCACAATCCATTCTTACTTTGAGCTCTACAGTATGAAATTGCCTCTTCTTATTATTGGATTTATGACTAATGTTCATCATATTAGAAATATACTCCAAAGTTCCTCCAAGACCCATATTTTCTTTCTTTGCTACTTCAGTTTATGAAGTATTTATTATTATTTTTTTCTTTTTTTGCTTCCTATATGATGATAGTATCATGTTTACTTCTTATATAGGCTTTTTTTTTTCAAACAAGGAGTAAAAAGGGAAGGAGGACCCCCCAAAGAAAATGTAAACCATGAGCTTGATATATTTTAATAGCTGATATCAATCATGCAATCAAAATATAATTTAAAAATTAAAAAAATATAAAATTTTTATTTTTATTGTTTCAAGTTCATAAAAAAATGTGTTTTCTTACAAAATTTAATACTCTCACACTTGTTCAAGATTTGAATTAATTCTTCTCTAGATAGAATGAAACAACATTTTGTAAAAATAGAAATTGAAATTGTAGAACTTCAGCGAACTCAATAAACATAGTATACCATATGACACTTTTGTATTTTTTTTCCTTGAAAACTTTAATGCAAAAAAAGAAGTTCAAATTATGTTTTTTTAATCATTGATAATTTTCCACTTCCTTTCACTTCCTTTCTATGCTTAAAATTCTTTTCTTCTCTGCCATATTTTATTTTTTCAAACTCTTTTTGCAGCAAATCAACAATAGATTTCTAGATTTTATTTGTAGTGTGATATTTGGGACTTTAAATTTATTTTATTTTTAATCATTGATAATTTTCCAATTGATGTCTTACTCTCTCACAAGGTTTAATTGAAATTTCCCAAATCAGCCCCATCATTGTTTTTATCTTTTCATCTCAAAAGGCTTAGTTTCAGTTTTCATATGTTATTTTTTTAAAAGTTCTTTCTCTGTCACTCTTACAGAACGACTTGGGCAATAAGTCCTGGGTATTTTCCAAATCTGACTTCTTTGAAATTTCTCTTTCGTAACTCATTTTCATTTATTTTGTTGGATTATTTAACATACGTATATCAAAATTTTCAATATCAGACTTAGTCAAAAGGAAGGAATATGTTGAAATGGTGGAAGAGGAAAATTAAATATGACGAAGAAAAAAATATCGAAAGACATCAACACATGAAGAATGAAAAGAGCCGCAGTAACGCAAGGGCGGATCTATGAAGGGGTGTGGGGGTGCCACGCCACCCCCGAACTTCGACGGAAACTCTATATATACATAGGTATATATATATATTATTTATATAAATATAAAGCGTGTCACCCATAGAACAAAACTGGCTTGTGGTGCCACGGTAGGAGGGCAACTTTAGAAGGCTGATGTTGCGGGTTCAAATCCTATTTGTACCTATTTTTTTGAGAAATTTGATGCATACGTTTTTTAAGAAAAAAAAAAGGCTCCAAGCACATTTTTTTTAAGGAAAAATAGCTGGCACAATTTATTTTATTTTTTTATAATTGTTATTGACTTAAATTAAATTAATTACATTATTACTCCTTTGACTTTTCTTTTATTTGATTAAATACTCAATAAAAGTGTAATATCTTATTATTTATATTTTATTGATTGATTTATGATATATATCGAAAAAACGAATAATTTATTCAAATATAAAATTAATTTAATCGATAAGTTCTATTTGACACCCACGAACTCTAAATCCTGAATCCGCCACTAACAGTAAGTAATGCAAAGAAATTGAATGAAATGGTACAATTTTTTTAAAAAAAATATACATATACTGCAATAAAATATTTGAACCAGGAAGTTGATGATTCTTCTGGAAAGATTTGGAAATTGGAAGAAAACGCTTTTTTTTTAAAGTAATGCGAGGAAAAAATGTTAACTATGGTAAAACTCTTTTAGTCAATCAAACAAATTTGAGTCATTAGATTATTTGTATGACACGTGTCAAAATATTAAAGGGCTAATGGAGGAACTGGACGGATCCCTTACCGGAGGGAAGCCAAGTCAGGAGAGTCTCTCTTTCCAATCTTTTAATAGCTAAAAAGAGTATTTATTGAAAAGCACAAAAAATATCATTTTTGTTACCAATAAAGGAGAAATAAACTTTATTTTCCCTCAAACTTATTTCCTAACGCCATTACACCGTATCTTTAAAACTTTGTGTTTAAGGTAATCTAACAATATATACATGCAAGAACTAGCTAACGGTGAATATGTATCTGCTGATGAATGAACTGTAATATTTCACGTTGGTGAATGAATAGAGTTTTGATCATTTTATAAAATTTGAATAATTTATTTATTTTAGTTATTTTCGAGATATGAATTGAATCTAAAATCTAATTTAACACAACATCAAAATCAAACTAGATGCATGAAATTGTACACATTTGAATTAGCTTTTAAAAAATGTGAGTTAGAATCGAAACCTAATTGCATCAAAAATCAAAATCGAACTAAATGTATAAACTTGTACACAATTTAATTAGCTTTTAAAAAATGTGAGTTAGGATCGAAACCTAATTTCAAAAAAAATTACACATGTCCATGAAAAATTAAATGGGCCTAAACTCTATGATTAAATAGGCAAACCACCAATTATTGAAAGAGTAGCTTCCACGTTTCGAGGTATGCATTGACACGTGTCAAATAATTGTTTTCAATAAAGAATTTTTTGGTCGAGCTGCTAAAAGTTACTTATTTTAAAAAATATTTTTACTAAAATAGCTTTTCTCTAAAAGTACTTTAGACAAATAATAATTTATATTTAATTATTTCAGTTGAAAAATGCTTTTTACTAGGTGTATGACAAATTTAATTTCAAAAATATTTTTGAAAGTCTAATCACGAAAAGAGATAGAAATCAATGCATTTTTGCTAGAGACTAGGATTATTTTAAATATTTATTATGAAAGATATTTAAAAGTAATTTTACTAATGGATCAAACATTTCAATTTTTCACAAATAACAGTAATAATTTTGGCCTCTCAATCATTTGGGCAAACAGGCTCTGATGAGGACGCTTTTGGCATTTGCTATTATTTTACTTTATTTATTTTTAGTAAAGAACACCTTACATTATTTTAAATTTGAATCTTCTATTGTTAGGATATTATTGCAACATTTCCTAAAATCTAATGTCATGTTTGTTGCAAAATAATACATACAAAAACCAGCTGTCGTGCAAATATATTGTTCAACAATGTCTGAAAATTACTTTCTCGGTACGATAAATTTGAGTCTGATATTTGCTCATATTTCGCAAATTTTTAAACAAAGCATAATTAGATCGACTTTTAATATTACTATAATTTATAAAGTTTTGTATCATGGTCTAATATTTTCTTATAAAATCGTTGATTTTCTAAAAATCTTTAAACTGTGGTCTAAAAACCCCATACATTATAGAAAGAAATCATTTACATACAACTATTTCAAAAAAATACAACAAAATTTCATCATTTAAAAACAAACATGCCTAAGTATTTATAGCCTAAACTGATCACATGGAGATGTTCCTGGTTCATTGGGCCTATAGTGAGGGTGAAGGAAGCAAATAGATTAATAAATAGTTGTTGTTTTTTGTACTTATATTGGGAAAAAAAAGTCAATATTATAGAGTTTCAATGACTATAATTTTAAGTTTTATAACCATAATTTCAATATTAACATAAGATTTTTTTTAAAAAAAGGGAAAAGGGTCAAATATGCCCCTAAACTATTCGAAAAGGTCTAGATATACCCTCGTTTAAAGTTTGGCTCACTCATGCCCTCGCCGTCTAACTTTTCGTCTAGATATGCCCTTATGGGCGTTAAATGCCAAATGAAATTGCCACGTCATTTTTGCATTACCACGTGACATTTATATTAAAGGAAAAAGGGTCAAATATACCCCTAAACTATTCGAAAAGGTCTAGATATACCTCCCCCTTTTAAATAAACTACCCGACCCATTTTCAACAATTTTTTTTTAATTTTTTTTTTTGGGTAAATCCCGAAAATGAGTAATTGACTAATCAAAAATAGGACAAATATGAAAAAAAAATAATATAAAATTAACGCCAAAAATTTGCAAATAAATATAGTAACCTTAAATTCAACAATTTCAACAATTTTTTTAA